TGAGGGTTGGACTCCGCCAGGGCTGCCCTTTGTCACCGGTTCTGTTCATCACTTTTATGGACAGAATTTCTAGACGCAGCCGTGGTGTGGAGTGTGTCGAGTTTGGTGGCAGGAGAATCTCGTCTCTGCTTTTTGCGGATGATGTGGTCCTCCTGGCTTCATCCAGCTCTGACCTTCAGCTCTTGCTGGGTAGGTTCGCGGCCGAATGTGAAGCGGCTGGGATGAGGATCAGCACCTCCAAATCTGAGACCATGGTTCTCGACCGGAAAAGGGTGGCTTGCCACCTCCGGGTCGGGGGAGAGGTCCTACCTCAAGTGGAGGAGTTTAAGTATCTCGGGGTCTTGTTCACGAGTGAGGGTAGGAGGGATCGGGAGATCGACAGGCGGATTGGTTCGGCGTCTGCAGTGATGCGGACGCTGAGCCGATCTGTCGTGGGGAAGAGGGAGCTGAGCCAGAAAGCCAGGCTCTCGATTTACCGGTCGATCTACGTCCCAATCCTCACCTATGGTCATGAGCTTTGGGTAATGACCGAAAGAACGAGATCGCGGATACAAGCGGCCGAAATGAGTTTCCTCCGTAGGGTGGCCGGGCTCAGCCTTAGAGATAGGGTGAGGAGCTCGGACATTCGGGAGGGACTCGGAGTAGAACCGCTGCTCCTCCGGATCGAAAGGAGCCAGTTGAGGTGGTTTGGGCATCTGGTCAGGATGCCTCCTGGACGCCTCCCCGGGGAGGTGTTTCGGGCATGTCCTGCCGGCAGAAGGCCCCCGGGTCGACCCAGGACACGTTGGAGAGGTTACATCTCCAATCTGGTCCGGGAACGCCTTGGGGTCCTGCCGGAGGAGCTGGTGGACAAGGCCGGGGAGAGGACGGCCTGGAGCTCCCTAGTTGGGATGCTGCCCCCGCGACCCGGACCCGGATAAGCGGAGGAAGACGAGACGAGACGAGACGAGAAAAAAATACTTTTATGGCTCCTCAAGGCTTGTGTTTGGCCAAAGGATGAAATGTTTTATCACAGTTACTCATCGTCTGTTTATTATAACAATAATCTTTTTCTCATAGACAACTACACTGACCTGTGTCAAAAGAGGGAGGCATTCATAAAGGGTGAGGACATCTGGAAAAGAGAGGAAGACACAAGTGACAAACCTGCGTGCGCGCGTTGTCAACGAGCACACGGCAGAGGAAAACGTGCGCGCGCGGCAGCCTCTGTGCGCGCTCGGCAGCCTCTCTGCGCGCTTGGTTTCTGACTCCTGCTCGCTCGGCTGTAAGGGTTTTGGCACTCTGGAGGCGTGGCCTGTGGCAGATCTCCTCTGTCCTCTGATTGGTTAGTGTATCCCGCACTTTACCCTCTACCTATCTATATAAAAAAGTCTGCTGGTCTAGTAGTCGCTGGCATAGCTCAGTTGGAAGAGCGGGTGACTCTCGCCCCGGAGGATCTAGGTTCGAGGCCGGGCAAGGAAAATGCAGTTGATGTCATGTTAATTTTTCTTAATTTTAGGTATTTTACAGTTGTGACCGTTCAACTGTCATTAAACGTCCGAATGTTTGCTGGGCAGTGTTTTAAAAAGTGCACATAAGCTAGATGGTTTTAACCATATAAAATTACATTTTTTGTGATACTGGAAAAATACATACTGAAATAAAACTACTGATTGAAAACTTTATGACTGTGGTTGTACAATATATGACTCACTAATACACTGCAAACTCCCTTAGAGTGGGGCTTCCAGAGAGAGAGAGAGAGAGAGAGAGAGAGAGAGAGAGAGAGAGAGAGAGAGAGAGACAGAGAGAGAAAAGTTCTTGCCTCATTAATGAATTGTTTATTTTTTTCAGTATTTAATTGACAAATTATCCTTTCAAATAATTAATTGATGAGTTACATAATTGTCCATTTAGAATTGTTGAATGGACTGAGTCAAGTTTGGTGCACTTTATATATTTCAAAACATGTTTTTTTTTTAATTTTAATGATGCATATAAATAATTTAAATGTTAATTTAATGAAATATTTCTATTTTTTCATTACCTCACCCTTGTTTTGACAAAAACGGGACCTTGCTGGATAATATCATGGAGAAACTATTTGTTCACAGTACATGGCTCCGTAAGGATCTGTGTACCAAAGGAAAAGATACTCAGAAATCTGTCTGCAGATTGTTACAACTCAGACTGGAAGTGGCGGGCTGTAATAAGAAAGGAGACCAAACAGAGGAGTGGGGGTTCAACAACTGATTTATTTAACAAAAGTAAAGATTTACTAAAGCAAGTTAGTGAACAGAAAATGGCCAGTGAGGACTCTCCACCACACAGGAGAGACCCAGTGAAAGCAGAAAAACAGTAGGCTTTGTAGGCAGCACCACACCCTGAGCCCAGGTGCCTCCAAGGCTGCTTAACCAGCTGCCTACAACAGAAGAAAAACACAATTAAACACAAATGAAAACCCAATGAGACGGTGGGGGCATCACAACACGTTCAGGACTACCCAAACACCAGTAATTCTTGACTGCACTGATCTGAGGTGTCAATGGCCATATTCCCCTCTCTTCCAGAGTCATATATTTTCCTCAAGTTCAACTGCACTCTGAAGAGGCTCATTTGGATTGTGCCACATAGGCCAGTGACCTTTGTCTCAGCACTGTATGCTGGAACTATCAGTGACCAACCTGGGAATCTGGTGTGTTGAAAATGCTACAACTAGAGATGGTCATCTTGGTAGACAGGGGTTTCTTCATTGATGACATTGTGCCCTGCAAAGTGTACAGGCCAGCTTTCCTTTCTGGCAAACCTCAAATGTCTGCATGTAAAGTTATAGAAACAGAAGCCATAACATCTCTGAGTGCATGTGGAGCGCTCCATTCATCTGGTCCAAGAACACAAGCATTTTGATTGTTATTCCACTCCTTGCATTTGTAAACAATCAGCTATATGCTGTGGTTTTTCTCCTTACCAACTTTTAAAATAGCCCACTAGTGAAGGCCTGGGCAAAGAAGCCTGATGTCTGAGAACCTCAACATATGTACGGCAACCACACTGTATATTTACACACTTTCATAAAGAAACTGCATATCAAGCTTTCATTCAGATGACCTTCAACAGTGCTGCACCCTGCTGAGGGACATCCGAGTAAAACCTTGAGATGGCCATTTTCTGTTCACTAACTTGCTTTAGTAAATCCTTACTTTTGTTAAATAAATCAGTTGTTGAACCCCCACTCCTCTGTTTGGTCTCCTTTCTTATTACAGCCCACCACTTCCAGTCTGGGTTGTAACAATCTGCAGACAGATTTCTGAGTATCTCCTCCTTTGGTACACAGATCCTCACTGAGCCATGTACTGTGAACAAATAGTTTCTCCATGATATTATCCAGCAAGGTCCCGTTTTTGTCAAAACAAGGGTGAGGTAATGAAAAAATAGAAATATTTCATTAAATTAACATTTAAATTATTTATATGCATCATTAAAATAAAAAAAAAAACATGTTTTGAAATATATAAAGTGCACCAAACTTGACTCAGTCCATTCAACAATTCTAAATGGACAATTATGTAACTCATCAATTAATTATTTGAAAGGATAATTTGTCAATTAAATACTGAAAAAAATAAACAATTCATTAATGAAGCAAGAACTTTTCTCTCTCTGTCTCTCTCTCTGTCTCTCTCTCTCTCTCTCTCTCTCTCTCTCTCTCTCTCTCTCTCTCTGGAAGCCCCACTCTAAGGGAGTTTGCAGTGTATTAGTGAGTCATATATTGTACAACCACAGTCATAAAGTTTTCAATCAGTAGTTTTATTTCAGTATGTATTTTTCCAGTATCACAAAAAATGTAATTTTATATGGTTAAAACCATCTAGCTTATGTGCACTTTTTAAAACACTGCCCAGCAAACATTCGGACGTTTAATGACAGTTGAACGGTCACAACTGTAAAACACCTGAAATTAAGAAAAATTAACATGACATCAACTGCATTTTCCTTGCCCGGCCTCAAACCTGGATCCTCCGGGGCGAGAGTCACCCGCTCTTCCAACTGAGCTATGCCAGCGACTACTTGACTAGCAGACTTTTTTATATAGATAGGTAGAGGGTAAAGTGCGGGGTACACTAACCAATCAGAGGACAGAGGAGATCTGCCACAGGCCACGCCTCCAGAGTGCCAAAACCCTTACAGCCGAGCAAGCAGGAGTCAGAAACCGAGCGCACAGAGAGGCTGCCGAGCGCGCACAGAGGCTGCCGCGCGCGCACGTTTTCCTCTGCCGTGTGCTCGTTGACAACGCGCGCACGCAGGTTTGTCACTTGTGCACATCCTTGTGCGCTCACAGACACAGTTTGCTCCCTCTCAGTGCACAAATGACCTCTCGCCATGTATATTTCCGCTCGCGAGTCCCGTTCACACGCGCGCTGTGGACCCAATGCGCGTGCACGGGTTGTGGCACGCTTTAAACGCCATAAAGACAGGGGAGGAAAGAGGAAGATACAGCCCAACAGCAGGTGGATGGACAATGAGGACGAGAGTCAACAATCAAAAAAGGTAAATTAATTGATTAAAAGATGTGGAAATGGACAGCTCTCAAATTAATTGAGTACAATTGCATACAATACCTTAAATAAGTGACACTTTTACAAACTATGTTATGATAATATTCATATATTCCTATGAATTGCTATGAAACCTTTATTTAAAAAAACTTAAAAAGTTATTGTATCACTATACTCTGAGTATTCTAGTACTCAATATTTCCTTTTAGCACATGTATTATAATTTGCACCAATGCTCGTATACTATAAACTCTAAAATTTTGCAGCAAAAATTTAAAAAGGCATCCTGTCCTTCAAAAGAGGCTGCAGACCAAATGATTGAAGACTTGAAGAAGGATCTGATGGCAAGACAAAAAGATTTAGAGATAATTTATCACATTTGAATATTTACAAGCTGTAGTTGTAAACATGCTACTTGTGTCTGAAACACATGACACTAACATGTTGTGTGTGTTTTGGTGTTGATTTCTGTGTCTTGCAGTCCCCAACCGAATATGAGGAGTCATCAGATGACGAGCTGCCTTCCAGGAACTGGAGCAAGGCACAAAGGCAAATAAAGCCGAGAATAAAAGGCTGAAAGAAGACAACTTTAAACACCCAATAGAAGCAATGAAATGTATGTTTATATGATCAGTCTTTTCATGTAGAGACACGATAACTAGATTAGGATTTTATTTATCTTAAAGTTGCACAAAAAATGGCTGACTTTGTTTTTTTGTATGGTTTGAGAGTTTGCTTAAATAGCAGACATGGGGCTTTAATGTTTTAAAATAATTATTTATATCTTCATTCTCAACAGAGCTTCCAGCAGTCGGGCAGAACTTACGAGACATAGCTGAGCTATTGTCATCGATCTCAAGCAGTGCATCAGCCGGATCAACACTCGTGCAAACACCTGTACGAACACCAGCGCGATCAGAACTGCAACTTTCTGCACCCGCGTCTCCTCAGGTGGACTCTGCTGACTTGGTAATGCTTGTATTGCACTAGAATAGGGGTGGTGGTGGTGTAAACTTTCGTTGTCACCATTTTCACACCTTCTGAATTTGTATGCATCAGGTTGAAGAATGTCTCTTGGAAAAAGTCCAAAAATATAAGTGTTTACAACGATACGGAGCAATCGTTTTATTCATAGAAGTAGGGGAAACATGAGTTTAGAGGTGGGGACTGCATGGAGAGGTGTAGGACAGTAAGGGACACATTTGTCCATGTTAAAAAGACTGAAATACATAAACACAAAATGTGATACGCTGTCATTCACCAGAAACACGACTGTGGTGGCAGGAAACCACCAGATCATTATCATTATTAGGAATTATTACAAAACATCAGAATACATCTGTTACATACATACTCAGATAGAATTGTCAACAGAGAGTGTTTATGTTTATGTTTATTCCCTTGGCAGATGCTTTTATCCAAAGCGACTTACAATTTATAACCCATAGGGCATATTGTGATCTGTGGGGGAAACCGGAGTACCCGGAGGGAACCCACGCATGCATGGGGAGAACACGCAACTCCACTCAGAAAGGCCGCAGCCGAGTTTTGAACCTGCAACCTTCATGCAGCAAGGCAACAGTGCTAACCACTGCGCCACCATGCAGAGAGTGTGAAGTGTTTGGTTTTGAAAAAGTAATTTGTCTTGGCAAGTCGGTCAAAATGTCGACGATTTTGACTTTTTCAGAGTGGCTAATTGAAAATAACTATTGTTTTGCAGGTGTCTCTTGTGCCAGGCGAGTCAAAGTCCCCAGACAGGAGCTCAACTCTCTGCGGACTTCAAATCACTCAGTTTACATTGGAGACCTGGCAGTGCTCGTCAACGGCAGCTGTCTTGTGACCCCCGACCCCCCCCCCCCCCCCACACACACACACACCACTTCACACTGGTTTACACACTTATCTGTTAGTGCAGTCAACCGCGCAGCAGACTATTAACATTTTACTGTCAAATTACCTAAATAAACATGATGAAATGCTAAAAAGTGGCTTCTTCAAAAGTCTCTTATAAGTTTCAAAGTGTGTAAACGGTCTTTCTGCCACCTAGCATGACAGAACTAAATCCTGGCTATTCCAGCTGCAGAAAATGTATCTTCTGCTTCTTTCGACTATTTTAACAGCCAATCTAAAGACAACTAGGCTACATCGGAGACCTGGCAGTCCTCGTCTACGGCAGGGAAACGCTGTCTTGTGAGCTCATACTGTCTACTGTATCCCCAAAAATGGCAACAAAAAAAAAAGATAATTTCCCTTGCCAAAAATTGATCACAGTGTCCTGGTCACGTGTAAAGGGTTAAATTTACCTAAATATTACCTTATTTATTATCTCTTGATGTTATTAGTGTCATCACAGGATGCTGGGTCTCTTCCACATTCATAAACACCCCAAAAATGGCAAAAAAAAGATAATTTCCCTTGCCAAAAATTGATCACAGTGTCCTGGTCACCTGTAAAGGGTAAAATTTACCTAAATATTACCTTATTTATTATCTCTTGATGTTATTAGTGTCATCACAGGATGCTGGGTCTCTTCCACATTCATAAACACCCCAAAAATGGCAAAAAAAAGATAATTTCCCTTGCCAAAAATTGATCACAGTGTCCTGGTCACCTGTAAAGGGTAAAATTTACCTAAATATTACCTTATTTATTATCTCTTGATGTTATTAGTGTCATCACAGGATGCTGGGTCTCTTCCACATTCATAAACACCCCAAAAATGGCAAAAAAAAGATAATTTCCCTTGCCAAAAATTGATCACAGTGTCCTGGTCACGTGTAAAGGGTAAAATTTACCTAAATATTACCTTATTTATTATCTCTTGATGTTATTAGTGTCATCACAGGATGCCGGGTCTCTTCCACATTCATAAACACCCCAAAAATGGCAAAAAAAAGATAATTTCCCTTGCCAAAAATTGATCACAGTGTCCTGGTCACCTGTAAAGGGGAAAATTTACCTAAATATTACCTTATTTATTATCTCTTGATGTTATTAGTGTCATCACAGGATGCTGGGTCTCTTCCACATTCATAAACACCCCAAAAATGGCAAAAAAAAGATAATTTCCCTTGCCAAAAATTGATCACAGTGTCCTGGTCACGTGTAAAGGGTTAAATTTACCTAAATATTACCTTATTTATTATCTCTTGATGTTATCAGTGCCATCACAGGATGCTGGGTCTCTTCCACATTCATAAACACCACAAAAATGGCAACAAATGACAATTTCCCTTGCCAAAAATTGATCACAGTGTCCTGGTCACCTGCAAAGGGTTAAATTTACCTAAATATAACCTTATTTATTATCTCTTGATGTTATCAGTGCCATCACAGGATGCTGGGTCTCTTCCACATTCATAAACACCACAAAAATGGCAACAAATGATAATTTCCCTTGCCAAAAATTGATCACAGTGTCCTGGTCACCTGCAAAGGGTTAAATTTACCTAAATATTACCTCATTTATTATCTCTTGATGTTATTAGTCCCATCACAGGATGCTGGGTCTCTTCCACATTCATAAACACCCCAAAAATGGCAAAATCTCAGTGGCTGCTGAGATCCGGTATCCATGTTGTAGGCGCACTGGCGTCCATGTCTGCGTCATGGCCGTCACGAGTCTTTTTTTTTTTTCATTGCAGAAAAGCATATTTACATTACAAATAAGGCGAACATGCCAATGTATTCAGATGAGAATTGAACAGTCAGTGAAAAGGGGGAGGACAAAAACAAACAAACAAATAAAAAACACAAAAACAATGCAAGGGACCACTACACAGTTCCAGGAAGTCTACAAAAAAGTCTATACATATCTTCATAGCTGTTATTGATACATTTAAGGGATCTTAGATACAATCTAAAATCATGTACAAATGCATTGAGCACAGGGGGTGATTTCAGTATTTTTTGTTTATGTATGAAGAATTTTGCCAGACAAAGAAGTAGATTGTAGCAGAGTTCTTGGTTGTTTGTTTGAAGGAGAGTTCCAAAGGTGACTACATCTCTTGAAATGGGACATGGGATTCCAATCTGAGGTTGAATCCAGTTTTCAAAACAGTTCCAAAACGTCCGTGTCTTGTTGCATTCAAAGAAAATATGATCAGTTGTTTCAACATCCTTCCCACAAAAGGAACATGAATTATCATCAATGTTAAAACGTTTTCTGAGCAGATCCTTTGAGGGACAGACATTGTTTAAAATTTTAAAATGTGTTTCTTTGACTTAAGGTTGAACAGGAAGTTTTAAATAAAGAGTCCTTAGTTTAATAATGGAGCTTTTACCAAATTTGTAAATTATGTTGTTCTTGTTGGCTTTACAAGGGTATAGTTGATCAGTAAAACATCGTCTAATAAATTGGTTGGTACACTTTTTATCCATAAGGGGAATACCTTGGATGGCGATAGAACCATACAGTGGATTTATAGGTTGGTGTTGAATAATGTTTCTGTACTGGAAGACCACCTCTTTAGGAAGCGCTATTAATAATTTTATAAAATCAGATTTAGGAGGGCTAAAGTTATATTTAAGACAAAATTCATCGTACCCTAGTAGTTCACCATTATCTTTCATCAAGTGTACAACAGACCAAATTTTCCTATCCATCCAATCTTCATTAAATAGTGACCTATTACGGCATAATACATATCTATTGTTCCAAATTATGGAAGAGTGAGGGGAGTAATTATGTACATACAACAACTTCCAATACATTAGTACTTGTTTGTGGAACTCTGATAATTTTGTGGGCAGTTTGTTTATATCAAAATCTGATAACAGTAAAATTTTTAGACCACCCATTTTGTTAAATATATGACTGTGGATAGAATACCAGAAAGCGTTCGGATACTTGAGCCAAGATTTTAGCCAATTAATTTTGAGTGTTCCGTTAAGGCAATTGAAATCTATTACTTTTAAGCCTCCATCTTTAATTTCTTTGACCATTTGATCTTTCTTTATATAGTGTGGCTTATTTCTCCAAATGAAGTTAAAATTGATGGTGTTAATCTTTTTAATTAGGTTGTTTGAAATTGCAGTACTGCAGGTTGGATAAACTAATCGAGATATACTCTCCATTTTGGTTAAATAAATGCGCCCTAATATGGAAAGATCCCTCTGAAGCCAAATATTTAGTTTGGCTTTAATTTCATTAAGTTTATTTGTTATGTTTGTCCTTAGGTTAAATTGTTGGTCTTTAGAAATATATGTTCCTAGATATTTAATTTCGGATTTGATGGGAATGTTACAAATTTCTTTTAGAGGGGAGTCATGAATAGCCAATAGTTCACATTTTTTCAAATTTAGCTTAAGTCCACATGCTGCAGAGAATAGCTTTATTTTATCAATAGCAATAGGAATTTGTTTATAATATTTTAAGAAAAGTGGGGTGTCATCCGCTAATTGACTTATGATCAACTCTGTGCCAAGGACATTTAACTTTTTTAGATCCACACAGTTTTTTAAGTAGATTGCTAATATTTCACTAACTAATATGAAAAGGCAAGGAGAAATTGGGCAGCCTTTTGGTATGCCCACAGAGACATTGAACCTGGGGGTGGAACCTCTGGGTAGTGAAACACAGCTGCTGATATTCCGATACAAACCTCTGATTAGATTAGTAAACTTAACTCCAAAGCCAAGATGTTCTAGAACTGAGAAGATAAATTGGTGTTCCACTGAATCAAATGCTTTATAGAAATCAAAAAATAGTATGAAACCGTCATAATTTATCATATCACTGTATTCAATAATATCCATTACCAGTCTTATATTGTTGTGAATAGATCTTCCTTTTAAAAAACCTGACTGTGTTTCCGAAACAATATCTGAAATTCCAGATTGAAGATGTATCTTTAAAATGTAAGTCAGAAGTTTATAATCTGTGTTTCTTAGGGTAATTGGTCTTCTGTTTTCAATAATCTTATGGTCTTTATCTGCTTTTGGAATTGATATTATTACACCATGTCGCATTGTAGGAGGGAGATCGCAGGATTCAAAAATCTCTGAGAAAACACCAAACAGTAAATCTTTTATTTCTTCCCAGAAATGATGGTAGAAGTTGGCTGTAAGTCCATCTGGACCGGGAGCTTTGATCAGGGATAGTCGCTTCACAGCTTTATCCAGCTCTAAGCTTGTTATATTGTCATCACATAAAAGTCTGAAGTCATCATTGATTTTAGGAATATGCATTTCAATACTGTTCAGGAAGTTATTACAATTTTCTTCAGAGAATTTTGAGGAGTACAAATTGTCATAAAATTTAAAAATTTCCTTTGAAATTATCTCGTCATCTGTAATTTCTATATTATTTATCAATATTGATTTTATACTGTTCTGTTTTTGTCTCCTTTTTTCCAGATTACAGAAGTATGCATTATTCTTTTCACCCTCCTAAATCCACTTTGCCCTAGACCTAATAAATGCACCTTTTGCTTTTTGAGTATACATTTCATCTAAAGTGGATTGAAGATTGCGAATCTTTTGTCATCCTCCGTAGGGCTAGAATTGCTGCAGTAAAAATTCAGTTCTTTAACAAGATCTATCTCTTTCTTCTGAGATTCTCTTAAAATTGTTTTGCTAAATGAGATTGAAAATTGTCTAACTTTATATTTGAAAAATTCCCATTTCCGTACTGAAGTGTCTAGTTCTTCTGACGTAATAACACCTGACAGAATAGATCTTATCCCGTCACAATAAGAATCATAATTTAGTAGAGTGGAGTTAAATTTCCAATATTTAGTTGTCCCCCGAGTGGAAACCTTTGGTTTGAATTGTAGATAAATAAGACAGTGATCTGTCAGAGGTGCAGCGGAGATATCAGTATTGATTA